ATGAGTAGCTGCCTTCCCTCTAGTCTTTCACTGCTAAATTAGGGACGGCTAGCGCAGATAGCTCTCGTGTAGCTTTGGGCGAAATTCAAAATAAACAAATAATAAGTCCCAGTGGCTCAGCGGTAAGTCCGAAGGCTTATAACGCTAAAAATTGGGTTTCGATACCCGTGATGGGCTTATCACATATATCCCATTGTGTGGCTTTATACTTAATAACAACAAACAAACAATACCTTATATATATATATATTATCTATTTTCCATTTTATCCTTTCATTATATAAATCCATTTATAAAATTATCGACATATCAGTTCAAGGAAAAGATAAAACTTCAAATTAATGCAATATAGATTTAAAATTTTGAAGTATTATATTTTAAAGTGAAAATAAGGGAATATCAGATTTAGTTTGGTTTTGAAAGTAGCACTTGTTCATGATAATACTTGTTGAATGGGCAGAAATGAATTAATTAAACGTATTTGTATCTTGTCATTAACAATATCTTCAAAGAGTATGCTGTCGTTAGATGTGGGGGCGTAGCCAGAATTACAAAGTGTATGTGTGTGTGTATGGAGAGGGGGTCCTTTTCCAAAACATATACGCACCTTTTCTTTTACACAAAAAAAATGTAAGTGAATTACCTTAGTCGAAATGAAACGTATAAAATAGAATTATCCAAATTTCAGAGAACAAAATGAAAGAGGAACTTAGATTACCTCACAGCAATAAGTTGCTGAGTTGTGAACGACTTTTTGGAATACATTGTTAGGTACAAAACACTTTGTTTTCGTATTATGATTTACGTGGTATTTGTAACCTTAAAGTGCTGTTATTTCCTCGATATTTGTAACCTTAAAGTGCTGTTATTTCCTCCATATTTGTAACCTTAAAGTGCTGTTATTTCCTCCATATTTGTAACCTTAAAGTGCTGTTATTTCCTCGATATTTGTAACCTTAAAGTGCTGTTATTTCCTCCATATTTGTAACCTTAAAGTGCTGTTATTTCCTCGATATTTGTAACCTTAAAGTGCTGTTATTTCCTCCATATTTGTAACCTTAAAGTGCTGTTATTTCCTCCATATTTGTAACCTTAAAGCGCTGTTATTTCCTCGATTATTTGTAACCTTAAAGTGCTGTTATTTCCTCGATATTTATAACCTTAAAGTGCTGTTATTTCCTCGAAAGGAGGCCGAAGACCGCCTGGAGGGATCACCTGTTTTAATTAGTCGCACCACTATGTAGTAGTGTGTTGTCTGTCAATCAGTCAGTAGATATTAAATGACGTTACCGTTTACTTTGCTAATATTTAGGTCACTTTTCATACTTTCAAAATATTTTTCAAACCTAGAGCAGTTTTAGACAACACAATCCCTTATTATGTTGTTTACCATCATAAATAGCTTTATATATTAAAATTATTGTATTCGTTTATTAAATAAGTCTCGAAATGATTTTAATCTATGTTTTATTTTTTAAACAGTGTCAATATGCAAACTAGCATAACCATCAGATAAAGTTCAACATATTCATAAAAAAAAAAACGTGAAATTTAGCCAGTGAACACACAGTATTAACTGTATAGCCAATCATAAAATCGCACATTTGGGTATTTTTTGTCCAAATGGTTAATGCCACATGTTCACTTTGTCAATCAACGATGATTTGTAGCATTATTATTATTTACACCCTTTAAAGAAACCGTCCTTTCTTCAGCCACAAGAGTAGACTAAGAAAGTTCACGCTATTTTTACGCTCGTGATGGTGTTTCTTAAGATGGACTGGCAAATGTTTGGCTCACCAGGGGAACTGATATTCTATTATGTATCCAGCAAAGAATAAATCCAGTCAAGGTATGTATACAGCAAAAAGTATTCCTCATGGAACGAATACAGCGGATTAAGTACGGTATGTTAAAACTATTTCGAATATGCTAATCAGTAAGTCACATTTGAACCACAACAGTTGAGTGATGCTATCGAAAAATGATCGTTTTGGGGAAGTATTTCTAACAGCTCTTTCCAACGCAAAATATTCATACACTCAGTTTATAAAGCTGTATTCAGATCAGAAATTTAGAATTTCCAAGAGAGAGATATCCATTAAAAAACAAAAAATAATCAACAGGAAATGATATTGATCAACTTGAGGCGCCAGGACCACTCAGAAAGAGACCTTCGACAAGTCGTGCCCTAGTTGAGGTAAGCAAAGTGTAAATCCACGAACACAAGGCCAAAAGTCATCCATATAACGTACACAGCCTCTGTATTCTACCATTTCTAATCAACATAGTATTGTCTATGCATGACACTTGCAAGAGTTGTGGTCACATATCACCTGCCACTTGGTTTCTCGGACATTCCCGCCATCAGAAAAATTACATTAAGAGACCAGCATCCATTGCTGTAGGGCCTAAATAATGCAGCAACGTTACAGACAATACCTGTGAAGACTCGGACTTAGTACCTTAATGTAACGTGTGTAACCCTTTATAATTTGATAACAACTTCAAAGATTTATTTCTGTCAAGATGCATGCAATATTACGAAAATGTTTACTGGATTTATGGCCTGTTAAACGTTAATTCAGTTTAACATGTAGAGGTCGAGATTTGGGTACTTTACCCAACTTACACCACTCAGTCCTTATTCACGAATCTACCACTTTGTAAGAAGGTGTTCAACTGTCATGGTTTATGGATTAACATAACAAAATGAAAAATTTCTTTAATCTTTATTTCATCTTTACTGCATATTTAGAATTTTTGTTCAAGTAGCTGGTTTCTCGATGGATTTTAAATTTTATTTAAAATAATAATTTAGTTATTATTATCTTTTCCTCTTAGGACTTTGCTCTTTTTTTTTCAGAAATTGTAGAAAGCGTCAAGAACGGACAGAAGCCACTCTTTCGTCCCTATCTGGAAAAAGGGACGTGTAGTAAAGAAGTAGAAGATATGATTAAAAGGTGTTGGGCAGAAGACCCAACAGAACGCCCTGACTTTCAAGCCTTAAAGTCAGTCATCAGAAAATTAAATAAGTAGGTAAAGCTTATAATTATGAAAAAATAGTGAATCACGTTAGAGAAGTAACCGTACTTTGTTGTCAATAATCCTTGATAGAGGTGTTAAAGAAGAGTTTAAAAACCTAACTTTTACAAATATTATTAGGATTTACGTTTTAAATTGGTAGCGAGCGAAGCTATTGCTTGTGTTAAAATACTGTACTTGGAAATGTATACGATAATATATTTAGAGAGAGTCTTAATTATGTTTCATTGAACGGGTAAAAAAAAACTGCTTATGAAATTCCATATGATGTAATGGTTTGGCTTATTAAGATTGCATTCCTAGTAATTGCTAGTGGGTGAACTATTTTAACTCAGTTAGTAACTTAACGTGCAAGAGATTCCGGATTTAGTCTTTTTTTCCAGAAAACTCAGAAATGGGATTGTTACAGAAAAATAGTCTTCTTGCAATAAAAAAACTGGAGTTTTTGAGTATTGTTTGTTTGAATTTCGCGCAAAGCAACACGAGGTCTATTTGCGCTGGCCGTCCCTAACTTAGCAGTGAAAGACTAGATGGAAGGCATCTAGTCATCACCATTCACTGCCAACTCTTGGGCTACTCTTTTACCAAGGAATAGTGTGATTGATCACATTATAACGCCCCCACGGCTGAAAGGGGCGAGAATGTTTGGTGAGACGGAAATTCGAACCCGCGACCCTCAGATTCCGAGTCAAGCTCCCTAACCACCTGGCCATAAAAATGGCGAGAGAAATCGCAGTCGTCGTACACTAGACGAAGTATGGAAATCAAGCAGAGAGGAGTGTTATTCTATGAACATGCTAGCCTTATGACTGAGCCTTTTGTAATTAAAACTACGCTGCAGGGCTATTGTCAGAATGCATTGCCGTCAGACAGTGCATGACCGCCGGTCATAGTAACATGGACAGCGTGGGGAGTCACCAAAATCGTTTTAATATAACATACTAATGCTACATAACTAACGAAGGCTACACGCATTTAGCCCTTGTGTGGCTTTTAGCAAAAATATTAAAGTACAAAATAATAAATATTCTGAATTCAGAAAATTTATCGTCAGTGAAATCAATGAAATTGGGGTGAATTAAGTAACAGAGATGGCATTAAGGCAAGGCATGCTAGGCAGCTTCCTGGAGCCCTTCGCTATGAATGATCTGAGTAGATATTTGTAAATATGATTTTTAGAGAATAAGCTGCAAAACACACAAAAAAAATCACATGACTGACCCATCAACAAACATGAGATATCGTTCTTTGTACAAGTGACGTTTTTGCTAAATACTATCACCAAGAATCCCTCACATTGTATGTTACTTATGGAACAGCAGTGACTAAAGCCAGCTGTGATTAGTAATAAGATATGTTGATATTGAACTAATTGCTTCCATGTTTCAAAGTAAATCACAACTTTCTTTGTTTTTGGGAGAAGAAATATACATTTCGACTGTTTCTCGAACTCACTCAAATTGGCTTTTAGGTTCTCGTTTATTAACCATACCAAAACAGTTAGTCATGTCTTAAAGGATACGATCATAATATTGTTAATTTGTAATGCGATAAGTTTGTACTGATTACATCTTGGATCTTTGCAGTACAAATCCTGATCCTAATTCGTATGTGGTTCTCTGCTATGATGTTCTTTTATCATAGAAACTGCAATATATTTTCACTGCAGAGGTAAGAGCCGATTCCACAAAGAAGTAGCTCAAAAGGCATATTGTATTCTCTCTCGGATACTGTTTTTGCGGCTGTCTTGCAGGCTATGCTGCGCTTATCCATCCCTTTTTGTTTTATAGAGTTTACATGATTGTAAAAGTGTATAGCCGCACAATTTTTATTGTTTTTTCTATTTATTTTATCTTACTGGAGTTTTATTTGATGACAAATAAGATGGAAGCCGAAATACTTGCTATCTACCTACAGCACTGGCAATGGCGATAAAGTACAGTCTTGGACAAAATGTTTGTATATTTTGTAACAAATAAGATCATTATTATTAAGATGGAATACAGATACACTCAGCGCTGTCAAACTGAGAAATGCATGTTATATTAAACATCTACATATGTAATTTGTATAATGAGACGGGCTCTATAGACATCATTAATGATTTATTAGAACAGCAAACAACTTTATCAAACACCTGTTAAAAGAAGTGTATTTCACCTATCACAACAAAACCTTAACAAAACATAAACAATGACAAAATATAACCTCATTTTTTTATAAATAAAGTCGGTAACCTTATATCATATTAAACATTCAATACTTGGTTGGTCCTCCTCGTTCTCTAATAACCTCCGCAAGGCGACGTGGCATGCTGTCGATGAGGTTATTGATGTAATTCACCTAATTTCATCCTAATTTGTCACTAGAAGGCGATATAACTCAGCTATAGTAGTTGGTTTAGGGTCATAGTTAGCAATTTTCCGGCTCAGTTCTACTCAACAGTTCTCAGTGGGATTACGAACAGGAGACTACTGGCCATGGCAATCTTGTAACGTCCTCCTGGTCGAGACAATCCTGTAAAATATGCGCACTGTTGGCAGCAGCATTACCATCCTGGAACACAAAGTTATCGCCTAACCTTGTCATGGTATATGGCAGAAATATCGTCTCCATGTGATACCTGTAGGAGGCGTTTCCCTGGAGGATATGAAGAGCAGTTTTTCTACCATGATGAATAGCTGCCCAAACATGTAGTGCACCACCTCCTGTGTGTTCTCTATGACAAAGACAATATTCCCTCATGGCCTCATCTGTTTTCAAGGCAAATGGTGAACACGAATCCTACCATCAGCTTTAACTAGCCGGGAACAGGACTTATCTGAAAAGATGACATGTCGCCAGTGTCCTAACTGTAAGTTGGCATGCTGTCTTGCTCAAGTAACACGGTGACGGCGGTGAATTCTGGTTAATATCAGTTTTCAGATAGCTCTTCTTGCAAAGTAACCTTGTTTGGTTAGTCTCCTATTCACTGTTCTACTGGATATCCTGGAATGAATGTGTTCATGTAATTCCTGTCGTAAAGTGTTGTAAGACTTCTTTCGACCTTGACATGTTAACCTGATCAAAATACGGTCATCTCGGGCATCAGTTTTTGGCGTCTACCGGTAGACTTTCTTGGAACATTTCCTGTAGTCCAATGACGTTTAAGGATTCTGGATACAGTACTCTGGGGGTACTTTACCGTTCTGTTCATTATATTGCACCGTGGAGATACATCTGTTGATTATTACAGTGAATTATTTACTGATACCTCTGTTGGTTATTACAGTGAATTATATGGTGATACCTATGTTGGTTATTACAGTGAATTATTTACTGATACATTTGTTGGTTATTACAGTGAATTATTTACTGATACCTCTGTTGGTTATTACAGTGCATTATTTGTTGGTACTTCTATTAG